GATGTCTTGTGAATGGTGTTGTTCTTGTAAATACTGTTATCGTAAATGTTGTTTTGCTTTTAATACAGTCTGTGTTTCTTGAGTGTTTTGCACTTTAACTTGATTAGTAAGTAACTGCTGTTGTTTGTAGTCTCAAAGAGATTGTGCTTTATGAAAATCTCTGTTGACTATTATTCGGATTTTGGCTTGTGACAAACATTATGAAACATTTTCATATGCTTTTAGATGTCTTTTAAGATTAAAGCCTTACTGAATTGTCTTCTAGATCGTGCTTGTTTGGATCTTGTTCATTGTGGATGTGACCATTTTTACTTTGGCTTTGCAAAACTGTATAAAGATGCATCAGAAGGCTGGGAAAACATATGACTTGCAGACAAATAATAATAATATATCAGGGATTAATTTCATATTTTTAGTGTACACTCTAATTTTGATTATACATTGAAACAGCTTTAAACAAATCAACAACAGAAGAACAAATGTGACTCACAGTCGCGACTCAAATAATTGAAGGTGCTTTTGGCACACTTAAATCATAAAGATTGTAATGTCTTAAGATTGCTGCAGTGGGTTTAATTTTTGTTCTGTGCAGCAGTCAGGGGTCTGCTTTAACACTCTCATAGGGTGACAAGCCCTCGCAGAGGCAAGAAATCAGAATCATTCAAGTTCATTTTCAGGTGTGGAAAGAAAATTGAGCAAGTGTTTGACGAGACTGACTTTTTTGATTCAAGCTAAATATTGGTGCTTTTTAAAGTGAAACTCATTATTGTTCATTTGACTTATTATTTGTGTAAATTAGAGATTTCACTTTAAAGGAGTAGTTCACTTTAAAAAAAAAAAAAAACTTTTGCTGATAATTTACTCACCCCCATGTCATCCAAGATGTCCATGTCTTTCTTTCTTCAGTCAAAATGAAATTAAGGTTTTTGATGAAAACATTACAGGATTTTATCCATATAATGGACTTCATTGGGAACCAAACGGCTCAAGGTCCAAAAGACAGTTTCAGTGCAGCTTCAAAGGGCTCTAAACGACACCAGACGATGAATAAGGGTCTTATCTAGGACCCTTCGAGTCATGACTTGAAAAAAGATTTGTTCATTTTGATGAACGAGTTTGAACAGGAGAGTCATGAACGCTCATCACAGAACAGAGCAAGGCGAGCATTTGTGCTTATAAAACTTCAACTTTTATTTATTTTTGAAATGACCGATGGTTTCGCTAGATAAGACCCTTATTCATCGTCGGGTGTCGTTTAAGCCCATTGAAGCTGCACTGAAACTCTCATTTGGACCTTGAACTGTTTGGTTCCCATTGAAGTCCATTATATGGAGAAAATCCTGGAATGTTTTCATCAAAAACCTTAATTTCTTTTCGACTGAAGAAAGAAAGACGTGGGCATCTTGGATGACATGGGGTGAGTAAATTATCAGCAATGGTTTTTTTAAAAAAAAGTGAACTACTCCTTTAAGTCCAGGCTGGTCTGAAAGGACAGATTTCCAACTACTGCATCCCAAACAGATGTAAATGTTTTTGTTGAATTCTTTACAACCTATAAATGATGTTTTGTTGGCGTGATTTTTTTTTTCCCATCTCTTAGAGATGAATATTTGAGTCAAGTAATAGCACTCAAGCTCTCACTGAATAATTTTGAATTTCAGTTGGAGCCAGTCTGTTTTTTGTGGCCTCCTCCAGAAGTAGTTGATTAGTCCACCCCATCATCCATTCACATCCCCATCAGAGCCTAGCAGACCACACAGGGCTGAAATTAATGTTCCTTTGGTGTGGCCTCATGGCTCAGTCCATAAACGCAGTGTTTTTCATCATGACATGTTTCACTTAAATGCAGCCTATTGATAGTGCCTATCAATTGCATAAGGTATTATGCAACCATATGCAGCACACTTCCCCATAATTATCAATTCTATTCAATTCACATTATTTGTATAGCGCGTTTCACAATACGTGTCGTTTTAAAGCATGTTTCTACATTACAGAGTAATCCGTTATCAGAGGTGACTGTCCATGTCAAAAATGTATTGTTCTAAAATAATACAAATCATGCAGTTAGCTAATTATCATGCATTCATTTAGGCAGAAACAAGGATCTCATTACAGCAATTTTTACAAGTTGTAATTATAAAGATTACAAGAAAATGTGGCAGTAATGAATATTGATTCAGAGTTGGCATCATCTAAAGGCCTTGCAGGGGATGGCTCCTCGCTTTACAGGTGTTGGGGGATCTGAAGTATGGATCCAAACTGGAGCTGGCGTACTCTCTATCCCGAGGTAGAGACAGAATAGCAAATAGGACATAATAAGTGTAGCTCCTGTTCATAGTCATGTGCATTTCATCTGATATAACTGAAGAAAGTGCATTATGCTTAGCTAAAGAGATGTGTCTTTGGTCTGGTTTAAACTGGGAGAGTGTGTCTGAGCCTTGAACATTAGAGAAGTGCTAAGCTGGAAGTGATCGTCACTCATTGTTTACACAGAGATTTCGGAAGTTTTCTCCTAAATTTCTTCGGAAGTCTTCTCCTATAATGTGTAATAAGGTTGATGAACATATGGCAAGAGATCTGAGACCATTCCTCCATACAGAAACTCTCCGGATCCTTCAGATGCTTGTGGACTCTTCTTCAGCTCATCCCACAGGTTTGGGTCTGGGGATGCTATGCCCATGACAAAACCTTCATTCTGTGGTAAGTGAACTATTCTGTTGTTTATTTCGAGATGTGCTTTGGATCATTGTTAGTTTCAGCTTCCTGACAGGGTCAGCCTGGTTTTGATTTAATATATTTGTACTTGATCATACTGTGTATCCTAACATGTTGTACATGGTCTTTGAAAAAAAAAAAAAAAAAAAAGCTACACAGTATCTAAGATCCACCACCATACTTCACATTGGGGATCGGGTACTTTTTCCACTTAATTATGTTTTGTTTTATGCCAAACCTATCTCTGGTGTTTTCCAAAAACAGTCACAGTCTCATAAGTAACCAGTAACGCCTGGCAAACTGTAGGTCCATGAGATTGCTGTTTGATGTCACCAAAGGCTTTTTTTTATTGCAACTTTTCCAAACAAGTTGTGTTTTTATAGGTGGTCTGATCATAGTTTTGGAGACTTTCTGACCCAAGACTCAACTGGCATTTGCAATTCTCCAACTTTGAAACCTTGTAGTTTGTTTGGTGACTCAAGGCATCCTCAGTGTGTGGGGCCAAAGACACACGTCCTCTTCCAGGTATGTGTCATCACCAGTTGATTTAAACTTCTTAACTATTGCTCAGATAGTGGTAATGAGTATTCCAACAATTAAACAATTATCTTTTATCCACTTCATAATTTGTCCCATTTTCTTGACAGGTTGTCATTGTTTACAATGTATTAACTGTAAATATCTAAGGCAACTGGACTGTAAAGATGCAGCAAATAAGCAACAGAATAAATTATACGCCCAAACCAGTTCAAAGATGTGTCTTTTTTTAAAAGTATACTCAGTCATTTCATTCCTCCAGCATGCTATAGTAATAAAGTTAACTGTGGCCCGGAGCACTTTTTATATCCACTTCTACGGTAAATCTCTGCTTTGTTGTCATGACAATCCGTCTCTACACTGAATGCGTCTTATTCTTATGGGGAACTCTTATATAAGACTCAATGATAGTAACTATAGAACAAGCCATAATGTATCTTTTTAAAAAGTCCTTAAACTGCTTCTGTGCTCATAGATTGTGCAGTTAAACACAATTCAAATGTCAATCACAATAGTTTATTGTGAGAAACAACTGTGTGTGTGTGTGTGTGCACACACTAAGTGGGAGACTATACCTCTCACAGCTGAATTGAGTGGGTGAATATTGGCTGTCAAACTGGAGTGCAAAAAAAGTTCATAGTAACGCTTGTTTTTTCAGTTTTAAAGTTTATGAAGGTCCCTGAGACCAAAAGACTGTGTAAAAGACACTTCTGATTGGTCAAGGGGCGTTCTCATGCTGCTTGTGCTGTTGGGCCACAAACTGAGCCTTCTGTATTGCCAGCTGAGTGTCCCCTCGCTGATGCCCAGATGCCACACAGCCCTGACTGTCCCCCAACATGGGGGAACATCAGAACCCGGACCCCTTGTCCCAGAGCCTTCACCTCTTCTTCATCTACACCTGCCATCCGTTCGCAGAACTCTGCTGGGCTCATCTTGGCGGTCCCGCAGACAGAACCTCAAAATGTTGCTTTCCACAGTGCTCAGATCCACCCGATACAGAGAAGGGTCACACTCTACCAGCGCTACAAAAGAGAAGGTGAGAGATGTTACATTAGACCTTTGAAATAGAACTGTGGATATTTAAACCTATATTGTAGGTTGTCTACAAACCAGAAGGTTGGTGGTTCAATCCCCGGTTCCACCTGACCAAGTGTCGAGGTGTCCATGAGCAAGACACCTAACCACAGCTGCTCCCGACGAGCTAGATGGTGCCTTGTATGGCTGACACCACCGTCAGTGCAGACTGATCTCATGAAATGGCGTATGTATGACACGCCAATTTCGTATTTGCATTTTTGGTATGCTATCAACACGCATAATCGCTTTTCAGTGTGTGTATATGAACGCCGTTGACTTAACGTTACATTACTGTATGAATATATGACCTACCCCAACCCCGTCCCTAGGTACCCGTCACTGGGGTTAATAGCATTTATGAGTCTTCCCCTACCATTTTAGGAAAAAAAATATCGCTCTCCAGATGTAGATCTACATTTTGCCTTGTTTAGCTCGGACATTTAATGGCGTCTACATACCAAGGAATCTCTCGGACATTTAACGGCGTAGACATACACGCGGATAGCTCAAAATGCGTAGAGATAACACAGTGTATGTTTACGCAAAAGTCATGATGTCATGTTGGTCGGTGTATGAATGAGTGAGTGAATGTGAGGCAAATGTAAAGCCATTGGGTCTGTGAACGCGCTATATACAGTAAATGCAGTTCATTTACCATTTAAACTGGACCCAGTCCATGGAATTTCATTCAATTTTAAATAGCACTTTTCAAGGCGCTGAATGGGAACTGAAATGTTCAAGCTTCAAAAAGGACACAACAGCACCATAGAAGTATCATGTGTTTGGTCCATGTGACTGGTGCACTATATTCCAAGACTTTCTGGAGTCATACAGTCACTTTGTGTGAAGAACAAACCGTCATTTAGGTCATTATGCATTAATGTAATTTTAATTGTAACTGCTTGCATTGTAACTGCTTGAGTCAGTGAGTTGAACTCAAGGACCGATTTAATAATAAATAATGAAAACTTTTTTTTTTTTTTTGCCTTTTGGAGCTTGACAGCCCCCCCCCCCACCCCCCCCCCCCCCACAAATGAAAAATGACTAATGAAAAAAGCAGAAAAATACACCTTTTGTCTACCCTGGAATGGGTTTTAAAGAACACAAAGGTGAATAACTGCCGAAATGACTTTTAGTTTTGAGTGAAATATTCCGGTGAATTTTTATTTATTTATTCTAACCAGTTCTGCCATTTTGATGCTTTTAGTTTCTGCTTTTTCAGTCAGACAGGTTTAGTATGCATTATTGCCAAATGAGAATGAGCATAATTAGATGACATACAAAACGGTGCTGCCATTAACTCATTTCAGCTACTGCGAATTAGAGTATGTTATACGCCTAATATATTCCTTCTGATTCATTTATAATAATTATGGTCCAAAAATATTTCATGAAAGCTACTCACGCTCAAGCTAACTGTTGTTAGTAAAGCATCATGTGTACAGTGCCTGTGTAGCGTCACGCTGAGGGTTCAGGGAAGTCTATGGGGTTCTGTCACCTTGAGCAAAGCGTCTGGCATTCCTGTGGTCCTCCTCCAGTCTGCCAATCATGTCTGACAGGGCAATCTTACCAGCTGCTGCCAAGACACCTGATTGGCGCATTCCTCCGCCAAGTGTCTTGCGGGCACGCACTGCTCTCTGTATGAAATCTTTCGACCCACCTAGCATGGTGCCCACAGGTGCCCCGAGTCCCTGCCAAAGAGCAAGTCAGATCAAATGAGCCTTTTGTTTCTGCATTGTGTGAGATTTCCAGCTCTTTGCATGAAATGGCATAGATAAGGATAGAGAAAACTAAACTGGGAACTGGGATGAAATGTCTGGAATGCGACCCTGACCACCTCCTGAAGTGGTTTGAGCGATCCGATTCAAATCCGTCTCGGAGGGTATTTATAAAACAGATAGCTATCTGATCTGAGAAAACGCACGGAATACAGATAGTTGCTTTTCCCCTTATGTCTGTAGTCAGATGTGATTTGACTTTCATATTGGTGATCTTTGTCTGTAAGCCTCAATTACATTTAACGTCTTTCAGCAAGAGGGAAAGAGGAAAATTCGGTGACAGAGAGTAGCCTGTTTAGCTAGCTGCAAACAAGCTCTGTAATTAAAATGCAAATACGCTTGTTGAAATCTACTCCAAGGATTTTGTTGAGAGTGATTAGGTTTTACGTTTCAGTCAACTTGGTCTGAGTTGTGATGTTGAGTTCTTTTCAGGGGAGTAATGAGTGAGGACATTTCAAATCCTAGATGATACGATATGATTACAGGTGCGTTATCAGAGGAAAGTACCACACTTTGATGATATGACTTAAAAATAAGACTTGATTATCTGAACATTCGAGACACCTTCAGGGTGCAGGTCATAAACCATAGAGGCACTGACTTTAACAAGGTCATTTTCAATGCCTCTCACTTAAACTCATTTCCAGTTCTTTTTGGTGGAAACTCTGACTGCCTGGAGATGTTTTGTTCAAAATGACTAAAATAACTTTCCCAGAAAAACACTTCCCGGAGCATGAAAGCTACTGCAGGTCTTAATAAGTACATTTTTCCTATTATGAAAATATCACTATTATGTTCTATGTTCTAGGTTAATTTATCGCTGCAGTTACTATACAGTTTCAATTTCCTAATTATATATATATATATATATATATGTATCCAGAATGATCATTCAGAAATCTAATATGCTGATTTGGTGCCCTTAAGTGTCACGGGCCCACCGGTGGGCCCAAATCCATTACATTTTTAAAACAGATTTTCAAAATATATTACAGAGGAGCTGTAATTTATCAATTTTCAACAAGAATATTTTCATACTCTTTCATACTTTCATACTCGTACTCTAACCTTTATTTTGAAATTGTGATGAACATGAAAAATCATGAAAGAAGGGTAGAAACCTGTTTGTTTTCATGCCAAGAGTTCAAAAGAAAGCCTCCATTCAATTATTTTATAATTATAATAATTATTATTTCATATGGAAATAGAGGCGCCCTTATATGGGCAGTAATGGAGTCTGGTTGTGCCCTAGTGAAAAAGTTTGGTACTGCGCCCAAACAAAATCTCACTGAAAGCTCATTTTTTGAGATATCAACCTAAAATTTGAAACACAACTTATTCATATTTTTGGCTTTGATTTTTTAGCAGTTTTAGAGTTGCCAGGTTTTGAAAATATATATTTTATATAAAATATGAATAATTAAATTTTTTATATTGTACATTTTCATAAACTCAAACTTCTATAACTTTTCTTCTGTTTCACATTCTTAATTTATTTCACTTCTACAAAAATCTGCCAAATGTCTTGTTTAAAACGAGACAATTTTTACGTCTATATTCCAGAGCGTTCTTGAATTACATCCATTTAAGTTCGAAATGTGCATTTTCATCTATATTCAAAAAAGGGGGGGTGACACTTAAGGGGTTAAGAAACATTTATTATTATTATTTTATCATAATATTTGCTTAATAATATATGATCATCTTTAAAATGCATTATATATATATATATATATATATATATATATATAGATAGATAGATAGATTTAGATATATAGATTTAGTAAATCAACTAATTGTATGAAGAAGACCCCTCCTGTTAATATATAATTACCTTAATAGTAAACTTATATTGAGTACATTTCATGTAGCAGGGCTGAATGAATCAGAACAACTATCTGAACTTCATGGTTATATAGGCTATATAAAAAGAATAAAGCCATGCAAGAATAAAATAAATATTATACTAAAGTGGACCCTAAACCTTTGATTGCTTACCTTGGACAGACACACACTGACAGAGTGGCAATGCTGCAGTATAACAGATGGCTGGACGGCAAGTGCCACAGCTGCATTCATCACCCTCGCTCCATCCATATGGACAGCCAAACCAAACTTATCAGCTACGGAGCGAAGCTTTGAGCAAGAGACACAGTTATAGACATACATTCAGTCACAGTGCAAAGTAATTCAATCAATGAACAAAGGTGTAATATGTGGATCATTTGTCAAATCTAAAGCAGAACCTGTCTGTGCCAGAGTGCTGAACAAATCAGTCTTTGTTTAACCACTCATTTACTAAATGGAGCGATTGTGCCCTATTGTTCAGAGTTCAGCCCCAGGTGTCTGGCTGCCTCATCATGTTGTCTCTCTCTCTCTCAGACACATGTTTAATGAACTTAAGTTTAACTAATATCTAACCTCCTGCAGGAAGGAGAGTGGGAGGACGCGCCCTCCCTGAATATTGTGCGTGTTTTCCACACAAACCAGGCGGGAGCGTGGGTAGTGTGGGTCAGGGTAACCGTGACGGATCTTGGAGATCAGCTGGTCTAGGTCAAAGGTGCCATCGCCAAGGGTGGTGACTGTTGCAGAATGGACGCCTGCTAGCTGTGAACATAAAAGACAACACATATTTTTCATCCTACTGATAATGTGCTACATGGATTCAACTATGTGCACTTTTGTCAAAAAATAAGCTCTCTTAAAGCACACTTTTCATACCCTGAATAGTTAATTAATTCCTGGCATATGAAATAGTAGTCAGAAAAATCTATTTTTTTTAATGGAAGTTTATTGAACCGTTCTTGAAATCTACAAAAAAAAAATGTGTGTTTTTTTGGTTGAGTATTATATTTGATAATGTTTTGTATGGCTCATATAGTATGACATCAGTAGAATATGGAGCTCATACTTGACAGTAAAAAAAGCTAAATTTGATTAAATATGATATTTATATGGCCAAAAAAATACTATAAGATTAAATTATTTGTTTGTCCATCTATATCTCCCAATAATACGTCTTGGTAAGATTTCATTTGACTGCATAGTTTTATGATCAAAGCTCTTAAGTTTTTTATTGTGGGCGGCAAAACATATGCAATGCAATACAACGTCTAATGTATCATATTTGATACTCACATTTTTACACGGTAAGAGACTTTCAGTAAACAATCTTGCTAATCACAAACATTTGAGTGGTAGTGTAGATGCATCATATAATTTATTTATTTTTTTCTAAACCATCATGATAATTTCCACCACATCTCAAATTATCATTGTGTTTAATAGCATTCTGTAGTAGAAATAACATGGAATAAAATAGCCGACTGCTTTATGAATATGTGACACAAATCACGCAGATTGCATAGATTACTTAATTAAATTTAAATTGATGTAATGATGTAAAAGAAGATGTAATCCTAAGTAGGAGACAAATATATACCCCAGTTGATCATACCTGTGCACTTCCTCCTTGCTCATAAACATGAATATGAGAGAGATCTCCGACTATCATCTCATCATCCCTCTCTCTGCAGTGAACCATAACTGAGAGAGAAAGAAAGAAGGAAAAAACATGAGGGGAACATATGTGTACATTAGTGCAGCATCTGGTGGTCACTAACAAGAACAAAATTCCTTGAATAGTGAGTTATTTATGTGTGCTAAAGCACCAAATCAGATTTTATTAGCCAGAGGTGTCTTTTAGGCAGTCACGCCAACCACAGCCACTGCAAAATACGTGTGCAGTTTACCTATAAGCTTTTACCATGTGACAACTGTAAACAAGTTATATTAATAGCCCTGGGCACTATCCTGCAATCTCACCTGCAATCAGGTTACTCATCGTTCCTGTGGGGACATATAGAGCCGCTTCCATGCCAAACATATCAGCAGCTATTTTCTGCAGTTCTATAGAAAGAATGGGAAACAATGCTGATCTAAATTTTAACATATGTAAAAAGTCTGGACACACATACTAATTCTTTAATATAGAATTCATTGTAAAGTGAACATAATTATGAAAAAAAAGTAAGCCTTTTTTTTTTTTTAAAGATTTACAAATTTCAATTCTATAGTTAAATTCCATCAAATTGAATTGAATAATTCTTACATATTATTCATATAAAAAAGAAAAAAGAAACAATGTTGAAATTTATAAACACGAATCCCATAAACTAATTAATTCCCTTGTTTCATTCAGATTTGTTCAAAATGTTAAGCTATTTTGTCAATAATGTTTTTTTTTATTCATTCTATACTGTATGTAAGGATTATTCAATTTAATTTGATGGAATTTTACAATACAACTGAAATTTGTAAACCATAAAAAGGTTTACATTTTGAGTGTATTGAAGTATGGAAATTGGAAAAAATAAAATGATTAAATAAATCTAAACAATCTTATATTATCCTCAAAACAGACCCCCATTGGTTATGATAGATTTTCACATTCTCTCACCAAACTTCATGAGGTGAAACCTGTCTTCTTTAGCTCCTTTCGCTCTCGTCCATTTAAAGCAATTATAATAATAACATGTTCATTTTTTAATGCATGCAGGTAATTTAGTTAGGCAAGTTATATTTGTCTGCATAACTAAGCATTAGCCTTTAGGTCAAAGGTTAACTGAAAACATGAATTCCAAAGCTTTTGACAGGTGTGTGTGTGTGTGTGTGTGTGTATAATAAAATATAAATGAATGTATTAGCTCATGAAAGCTAATCGGAACAAAAGTACTTATTTAACAAAAGACGCAAATCATATGTATTCATTATTCATGTATTTATTTGTGTTTAACGCATGCCTTTGAAATTAAAGTAAACTCACTTCTAAATGTCTTTATTCCCAAAAAGTTTTTGATGTATTTGTCAATTATGTAGAAATATGTATTATTTTATTTTGTTTTCCTGATATCTGTATGTATTCTCTTGGGAATATGTAAAGTCTTTATCTGATGTGAGCGCCCTCTCATGGCCATTACAGGAAAAGAGGGTAAGAGTACACATACCATGCGAGAGCTATCTGTTTTTATGCGTTTAACAGATGAACCCAATCAAACACGCGTTGAACCTCTTAAACTGTCACAACAGAAGCACATAACAGTGACTGCGTGACTAACCAACCATTAACCGTAGGGTCTTCCCCGAACACGTCGTCTCCGACCTCAGCCTCGGCCATGGCTCGGCGCATGGCTGCTCCAGGTTTGGTGACCGTGTCGCTGCGGAGGTCCACCGTGCGGATAGCTGATCCCGCTGCCGCCTGCGGAGACCCATAGTACAACCGCACAGGATCCACGCAAACAACCCGAGGTTTGTGTAAGCAATGACGGACTAAACGAGCTGGAAGCGTTAGTGTTTTGGAGCTCATGTCTTCTTCTTCTTTGCACTGTAATGTAACGGTGAATTCTGCAGTTGTGCATCAATTCACACTAACGTTACTTTCCTGAACTTTGGTTTAACTGTATTCGATAATCATTGATGTAAACGGCTTTAAGCTTCCAGACATGAATAATGGAACTCACAATTATCGATCTGTTAGTAATGTTTTCAAAACTACATTATAACTAAGTTAAACACATTTTTCTCCACTTGTGGGCGCTCATGTATAACATTTTGACTCCTTCGTACAGTACTTGAGCAGTTTATTAGGGTGACCAACATGTCCTGTTTTCATATAACAATATAGCAATTTTCTATCCATACACATAACCTACTTTAAATGTATTGAAATTAATAAAGTATCTTTGAGTAAACTTCGAGTATCATTGGAGTTGGCCCATGTGTTTGCTGTAATTTTGGTAATCAAAATATGGTCACCCTACAGTTTATGGTTTTGAAAGGAGCTGTATGTAGCAGTATCTTTCAAAATGCAACTTCCATTATGTTGAATGATCATTGTAGGATTTCCTTTCTTCTTCTTTTTTACTTCTTTTGAAATGCCCCCTCATATAGATGAAATAATCACAATTAGTTCAAACAGTTATTCAAAAGCTTTACATAGAAAGGGAATTCAATCATCACACTATAGCAATTCAAAGAGCTTTGCAAAGAAAATAGACACAAAATAAAAGGGAGGATTAAAACAGCTATAAAAGGAATTTAAAGGAGAAAAATGAATTAGAGTAAAATCAATTAAAATATTAAAAAGATGATCCATAGAATACAATTATCTTCTGGCAAAACACCAGTGTATGTTATTTTGACTATTTTGATTTCCCCATGGCGGTCAGTATTTTCAGTTCACAAGCACTTCCTTTAGTCTTTAAATTCTGGAACATCTTTTAAGTTAATATGATAAACAACATCATTGGTTACTTTACACCCCTGTGTGAACTTGAGGACTTTGAGGAAATTAAGTTAGTTCTGAGAAAAGATCTTGCATCATTTGTTTGCAGATGCCATATTGTGATATTTTGTATCTAAGGGAATGACATTATTAAATGACATGTAAGTGTGACTTTGCACTTTAACACTTTACAATTAGGTTCTATTTTTTAACATTAGTTAACAGAAATAACATTACTAATAGGCCTACATTATTAAATCAAAAGAAATATTTGTTAATGTTATTTAATTGTCCTGAGCTAACATGAGCTAACAATGAACCTTTGTATTTATATTAACAGTATATTCCAGTGTATGAATGTATGTATGTATATATGTAAATGTATGTATGTATTTTATATATCTAAATGTCCATGCATGCTGGATAATATATGATGGTATACACTGCAATATATATATATATATATATATATATATACATGCATACATACATACATACATACATACCCAAATGCCAAATGTCCATGCATGCTGAATAATATATGGTATACACTGCTAGAGTTCAGATGCAAAAGCCTCTAAATGCCATTTGAAATTTTCTTCTTTAATGATGATTTTTATCAAACTTGTATATTTAAGTTCAGTAATTTCACCTAAATGGCAATGGTAATTACCTATTAATTGTTATTTAAGTGAAATTACTGAACTTAAATATACAAGTTTGATAAAAATCATCATTAAAGAAGAAAATTTCAAATGGCATTTAGAGGCTTTTGCATCTAAACTCTTCAGATATATATATATATATATATATATATATATATATACTGCAATATATATATATATATATATATATATATATATTGCAGTTTATATCATATATTATTCAGCATGCATGGACATTTGGAGATATATATATATATATATATATATATATATATATATATATATCATGGTAGATTACAAGCAGTTTACTGTTAGAAAAATTATTTGTTATTTGTTGCAGGGACATTTGGATATCTTTTCTGTATGTCATGCTACTCACATATCTGTTGGTTACAACTAAAAAACAATTTAGTTGTAACCAATTTGGTTACAACTAAAAAACAATAACTAAAAAACAATTTGACTTTTAAAGCAGTACATCCACCCACAGATGTGCATTTAATCACGACCTGCATGTTTTCTAAGTGACTGCATGCCTTATTGAAGATGATGCCTATTTATCTATGTATGTGGCCACTGAAATACCCATTTCCCATTAATAGCTCTGAGTTGCAAATCATAAATAACATCACGACCGTAAACGTCAGCATGGCTTCTAATTCCGCTTGATACCCGAGTGTCACGCTCGCATGCTCACCGCTGTGAGTAACACAATCTTATTTACACTCGCTCCTCTCAGACCTGAAAGGCCCGTCCACCCGCTGCAGTGATGTCATACGGTCAGCAGCGGAGATTTCCTGGCCTTTACCGGCTATGTTTCCAGCAGCTGAGCTCTGCCAGGCCGACTCTAATAAAACCCTGCGGGAGGTGTCAGGAGAGGTTGTGAAAGTGAGTCGAGCAGCTGTGTGGGTTTCCAGTAAGAGGCAGGAGGGTGGGGGTAGGTGAGGAGGGCTAGGGTGTGCCAGATGGCACCCGATTCTTACATTATATTCAAATGAGAGCATTTGTCATCCATCCCATGCCAGACTGCTCTGCAGCAGAGATCTGTGTGTGGCGAGAAGACTCCCGCCATGCACTCAAGCATACGCTCCATATATTTGAATTACTTCTCAGTTTGAGGTCAACATAACCTTTGAGTTTTGACATACAAGGAGATTGTTTAGAGAGTTCAAACTCTGTTAATGCTCTATTGTTGATTTATATAAAGTGGTAAAAATGGATCTGTCATCACAGAGCGTCCACTCAAAAGTACTAAATAAACACGCAAAGTCAGATTGTTTTTAGACGCAGCACGCTCTATATATTTATCTTTTACTGCAGCTGCTGGATGTGTGCCCGTAAATGAGCTGCATATGATTTCCTTTTTCTAGTGTGTCTGAAGAAACGGCTCCCTGTTGTGAGAGAAACCGTTGCAGTAAGAGGAGGGTTTACTGGAAGTCAGTTTGAAAGAGTTCCCTTCATTCTTCTATTTTTTTTTTTCACCACGCTAAGATTCTCCTGCTGATTGCGTTGCATATTATCCTGACCAAAACTATGCATGCACAGACTGTATGTTATTGTAAATGCTGCATATTTACTCTAGTGGAGTGGGTTGGGAAAATCTTCTCCCAGGAAAACTAGAGCAAGTGTTTAGATCAGCACAGCAGTTAGTGTATTTCATACTTTTTATATACATGTTCTGGGGTTTTAATTTTCAGTTCAGTGCTGATAAGCCCTGCTATGTGCACGCTAAATATGTCAAATATGATGGTTTCCTTTTTGGAGTAGACGCCTGAATCCTTTTGTTTCTATTTTCATACTATTTTTAAATTTAAATAAAACTTTGTTTGTTAGTTAATAAACAATTTCAAAGGTATTTTTAAATACTACTTTTTGTCATGTGACGTGACATGAATATTTATTTCAGATTATGACAATAATTTTAAATGAATTGTTTTCGTCTTTGTTATTTTTGGTCTTCAATGATAACTCTCAAATGTTTAGCGCCATGAGAGCTTGACATAAATCTGACATCAGGTACATCGCTTAACCTAAAAAGGACAAAGCCATTCAGCCTAGGGCTCATCATTTCCCGGTTTGAGTTTTAAGCACTAGCTAAACATAGCTCAACCATCGCAGTACATGTTGATATCACAGGCCCTGGGATCTAGAGCTCTATTTTGGTGGCGTTTACAGCAAAACATACAAAAACACAAGCTGGACGTGCTGGTCAAGTGGAACACAAAAACCAGAAGATCTGGTTCAGATTCTACTTGGTTTCAAAACTAATTGCCCCTTTGTTTGCCACTATTGTGTCCTAAAGTGCTTTGTCCACGTATATTGCACATATTTTCTTATTGGCCATGGAACTTTTATTTAGCATCATTTTGATTAAAAATATAGATTTATGTTCTTATGCCAATGGTATATTTTGGTTAGTTTTCGTTCGCTCAGTATTATAAAGATTTCCTACACATTATACTTTTTTGTAAATTTACAGCTAAAATATGGTAACAGCATTTTAGGTTTCACTGAATGAACTTAAATTTACAGTAAAACAAACTATATATTTCATTTACTGGAATAATGTTAATATTCAGAACCAAATTACAAAATTTTGCTTTTGCCTTTATAATATGATATAATAGGTGTCAATGAGAATGCCACATGATGAATCAAAAGTTCATCACAAGTAGCTTTTATGCACAAGCTGAGATAAATACTGATATATATATATATATATATATATATATATATATATATATATATACACTACCAGTCAAAACTTTTAGATCAGTAAGATGTTTTATGTTTTTAAATGAAGTCTCTTCTGCTCACCAAGGCTGCTTTATTTGATGAAAAAAAAAATGACAAACAGTAATATTGTGAAATATTATGACAATTTAAAAGGACTGTTTTCTATTTTAATACATTTTAAAATGTCATTTGAAAGCTGAATTTTCAACATCATTACTGTTGCTGATTACATCAGTTTTCAGTGTCACATGATCCTTCAGAAATCAATCTAACTGACTTCACTTCACTATATATTCACATAGGAAACCGCTGTTTTAAATTGTAATAATATTTCACAATATTTTTTTTTTTGTATTTTTTATCTTAGAAGAGACTTCTTTTAAAAACATAAAAAATCTTACTGATCTAAAACTTTTGACCGGTAGTGTATATACATAGACAAGCATGGGTTCAGACACACAAATACAAAACACCATTGTAACACATGACACTAAAACAATGCAATAATCATTAATTTACCAATATAAGATGTAGCATAAAGCCCTAATGTAATAATAAGAAACTATTGAAATGAAATAAATAGCATGATTTGTTATTTTTCTCTTCCAACAATAGTAATTGTCTCATTAGAGTTTCAGTTTTTCACTGTAGAGTTAGGAAACTTACTGTTAACCCATTAGCTGGTTTTTATCACAGCATTTAAAATTACATTCAATTTTTATAGTTGATGTATTTTTATTGAGGTGAATACAGGTAAAGTAAAACACATTCTGATCACTTGTTAAATGTTTTAAATGATTCAAATAATGTCAGCCCATACTAGTTCAGGATTA